ATAATAATAATAATAATAATAATAATAATAATAATAATAATAATGGAGCGATAATCGATTGAAGAATGGATTAATGTTTTCTGTTGCAGAAATAATGAAGAGAGAAGCTGATGCAGGCGCTATGACAGGTTCTGGAGGACCGACAAGTCCTCACAAGCGTTACAGACAGGGTGACGATGAACTTCGTCTTCTGATCCCCAGCAAGGTAAGATTTTATTACCTATTCTACGAGTCCCATCTTGCGAAACCAGTTTCGCAAAGTTGGAGTCGATCGATCCCCGGTTCTTTTAAGAAATTCAACGATTCAAGCATCCGCGAATCGAAAGGAACGATTATATAAATCCTATGCTATCTAGAAACTATCGAATGTATTCTTTAATTTTCGAGAAAATGTTTTCAGTAACTTTTAAATTTGTCCTCGACGAAACACATTACTGCGAATAGAGAATATCCTTCCACGTTTCCTTACTTTCTGTTCTCCGTTTCCGTTTCGCTCGTTTCGACGAAACTGAGCAAACGTTCTCAAACGATCTCGAGTAAAGTAGCTACCACTCTCGATCATTCATCAAATACAACCGCACATTTCTCCGTATAAACTCTCTTTCCTTAAGCTCTTTACCATTGGATAGCAAAGATCTCTTGTAAAGGAGGAGTAGTTTCAAATCTTGTTTGGAAAACTCGGCAACGGTTTTAAAGCGCAACAAAAGGAGAGCGTAAAAAGAAACTTGTATAGTTTCACCTTTCGTAGACGAGATACGAAGGCGTGCGCAATTTCCTTTCCGAATGTTCTTCTCTCGTTGTTAAATTTCCAAACGAGATTACGCAAGAATCTTTCCAACCGTGTTTCCCTCGACCGGATAAGGTTTGTCAAAAACCTCTCTCCTTGTACGTTCTCTTTCTCACGCGTGCCGCACAACGATTTTCCCTGATTCTCTTTTTCTTTTCCACGCGATGGCGCACGCCGAGCTGGTCGAGCAGAAGCCGGGTTGTCATAATTCCTTCTCCCGTTTCGTGGCGGAACGTTCGCGATCGCGGAACACGATGCTCTTCCGGTCATTGTCGCCGTGCTCGGCGAACCAATTTTCTTCCGCTTTCTTCCGTCCTTCCAGTGGAATTTTCGAAACCCGACCGATTCCAATTCTTGCCACGAATTGGATGGATTCGACGAGTAAAGAATGTTTTTTCTTTTCAAAAGATTATTCCAAGAAATTATTATCTAATTATTTGGAAAGTGTCGGTTCCGATTTTGTTATCTCTACTCGAGTTTTATTAATGTAAAAAATATCAGAACGATCTCTTCGTTTTCTTCTTCTTCTTCGAAGAAGAAGAAGAAGAAGAATAGGAAAAATCGTGCTCGAGAATTGAGAGAGAGCCACGCATAATACCGCGCGTAATAAAAGAAGAGAAAAGGAGAAAAAAGAAAAAAAAAAAGGACCACGTGCCACTACCCATATCGAAATTCATTCGTTCGCGTCTTAATAAAACGAGATTGCATCGCGAGTGGAAAGGTGGAATCGATCGGGACACAAAGGAGGGCGCTCCTCCTCGGCTGGATGCGTGTATTTCCTGATGCCTTCGATTTTTATCCCCCCCCCCATTGGCCGAGAGAGAGGGAGATCGCGGTGGTCGCGCGCCAACGATCGAGCACAATGTCGATTGCTGGAAGCGTCGGTGTCAGGGTCGATCGACGGATGGGCCAGGCTCCTTTCTTTCCTTCCACCTAGCGTAATCTCGTTCGCGATCGCGGCAAAGGGAAAACGCGTTTTTTCCACCGTCTCCTCTCGCCTCGCCTCGTGATCGGCGTGGAACGTGGCCAACCAGTTCGAAAGAAAAGGAGATCGGGGAACGGCCTTGTTCGATTCGAGGCCCGTTTCTCACGAAAAATTGGAGCGCGAGTTAACACATCCCCCATGGCTGTGGGTCGAGGCCGGGAACTTGAGTCACGATTATATTATTTTAAGATCGCGTATTTTAATTTTATTTCGTTCTGCCACGAAACGATTATCCGATTATCGTGATTTGTTCTTTGAAAATGGTGGCTAGTTTCGAGAGTCTCTTTTCTTAATCGTTTATCGTTGAAAAAGAATTGAACGAAGGATGTCTCGAATCATACGCAAGTATATTTTTTTAGAGAATGCATTCGATCCGCGCTTGTGGGATGTGGCTCCCCAACACGAAGAACACGCGAAATCTTGGCCAATTCGAATCTCGTTTCGGAAGAAAAGAATCGTTATTTATCGACACTTTCTCCGAGTACTTCGCATCTGAAAAATCTGCAAATTTTGGATTACAGGTAGCCGGTTCGATAATCGGCAAGGGTGGCCAGAATATCACCAAACTGAGGAGTCAGGTAAGCCGTTGCTTCTTCCGTTCCCGTCGTTACCGTATCCCTCGATCTTGTTTCCTCTGTCGTTCGTTCGTGTTCGTGGGACAAGCACGAGAGACAGAAGAAGTATAAACGATCGGAAAGAGAAAAAAAAAAAAAAAAAAAAAGAAAAGAAAGATGATAGACAAGAAGAATCCATGGCGAAGTATATAAACTTGGGAAAGTTTTTTAGCTTTAGCCGAAAATGATTGATTCACGAATCACGTCGCATTTTTCACGAATATATTATATTTATTCCGTTCTCTCCGTTAATTAATCCGTCGCGCGAATTTCTAGAGACGACCACATATGTTACATATATATATATACACACGATTGTCTATCGATCGAGCTCCTCCGATTAGCTGGAATGTTTAGGAACGCTCCGATGAGTGTATTTCTGAAACGTGTGTGCAAACGAGAATCGTGTTTGCTCTGAGATTATACCGTTTTTCTCTCCCTCTTTTTCTCTCTGTCTCTCTTTCTCGAGTTCAGTATGTAGCCCGTATTTTTTCATTAGCCGATCTATAGCAGAGTATTGTTATTATTATTATTATTATTATTATTATTATTATTATTACTATTATTATTATTATTATTACTATTATTTTTTTTTTTTCTAGAAAACTATGAAACCGTTCGTTCCTTTTTACCTATATACGACCAAAGATAAATGCAATATATATATATATATACATTTACATACACACACACGTACGAAATATCTTCATCACGCATATTTTTCGTTCTCGAGCTGGAAAGTTAACCACCTTTCGTCCACCGCGTTCACTTTACCGACAGATCATATATATATATATATATACATATATAAATAGAAAAATATATATATATATATAAGTATCTGTCCGCTCTCGACCGTCTCTGGAAATTGATCGAACGGCCGTTTCCGCGCGATCGTGGGCCGAGAGTAAAACTGCGTGGGCGTGAAACTGCAGCCGACCCTGAACGATTGATTAAAGATGCGGCTCGAGTAAAGCCTGTTGCACGCGCATACCGATCGAACCTTTTTTCGATTCCAGCTCGAAAGGATTAATTATCGATGGTAATGAGTCGGAACGAGCGTGTTGCAACGCGATATAAATTACAACCGTGGGACTTAAACTTAAACTCTCCTCTCGAACGCAGGGAGAGTCCGTGGAAAGGAAAAAAGAAAGGGGGGAGGGGGGAAAGAGAAATAGCTCGTAGTGATTATTTTTGTAGATCAATTGCGAACACGCGTGCAAAAATTCCGTTTTAAAGAATCACGCCACAACGAGCTCGAGTTGCTGTGCTAAATTCTTCACTTCGAGAAGAAGAAAAATAAATATAATATACATATATATATATATTTTCATAGAACATGATTTTATTCATACACGACGTTTTTAATTATGATTCGGTTCGATTCGGTCGAGCACGTAACAGGCATTACACTTGCGAGTATCTGGATCGATGTCGTTGTTGCGCAATACGTTCGATCGTTTGCCTTCTTTCCACCGTCCTTGAGACGCCGAGACGAGAGCTCACCCCGCGGAAGATCGAAGGGACGCGACGAGCACAAAGGTTCGCGACCTCGCGTTACCTCGCGATAAAATTAAGAAGGAATTTAGCCCGGATCGATGCACACACATGCGGGATTTACGATTAGAAACGAGTTTCCACCGTTTCGTTGATCGTTGTTCGTGTCGTGAGAGAATCGCAAACGCGAGTTTAAGGGTCGATTAAGCTCGCGTTTCGATCGACTGACGAATCGACGGTCGGTGCTCATCGATCGGAATACGAGTCGAGACGATTCGATACGCGTGTATTTTTCTTTCTTTTTTTTTTTTTTTTTTTAATGTAGAGCGTTTTCAATGCCAGCCGTTTCTCACGACGAAACGCGTAAAACGTTAAGAGCACGTGGACTCAGGGACAAAATAGAGTGGAATTCGACGCGGTGAACGCGTTTAATCGTTGCTCTCGAGTGTCGTGCATCTTGTCGAGAACGGAGAAAATGAGAAAAGAATAAGAAACTCGTAGCCGATTCATCCGGATTATTTCCAGTCTATGAATTTTCTCGAGGAATGCTTCACACCCGAATCTCTCAGAATTTCGTTTGTTCCCTGAGAGAAATACGAATCTAATTTTTCTTATCTTTGAGAGATTCGATCAATTATCAGAGAGAAATCAAGTAAAATGTTCAAGATCAAATTTAGCTATTGTAAAATAAAGATTAAAAATTATTCTTTTAAAAAGCTCGATTCAATTGCTTCTCTCATAATTGCTCGAAATTCACAACGTCGCGCAGTAGAATAACGTTCCGTCAGATTTTATCGAGAATCGCATCTGAAGCGCTCCTCGTCCATATCTATTTCCTCTTCTCCAAGGAACTCCTGACGAGCAATCTGTACATAAAACCATCGAGAATTGCGATAAACGCGTATGGAATTAATCGCGAGCGAGTCATTCCCACTCGATCTTGTCCCTGGTCGTAAGTATTATAATCGTCGGTAAAGCCGGTTCGTACGTATTTTTTGAGCGCTCGTGTGCCCGCCGACGAGGGCAGCAAGCACGCATGCAGAGTGATCCACTCGCCGTCGCGTGATCTACGAAAGCAGTGTCGCTCCATCGCGGTATCAGATCCTATTTCTGTACGCATTTGTCGATGAAGAAGAGCGAGAAAAGAAAAAGAAAAATCTCTATCGCGATCGACTGTTGGACACCGTTGTATAATAACAATAATCATGGGATTATTCAACGGCATGGCGCTACTACTACTTTCGAGTCGATCGGCAGAGAATCACCCTGTATAACAAATCCGAGGAGCGAGAGAAAGAAAAATCTCGAGGGATAATTTTTTTTTTTTTTTTTTTTTTTTACTATACTATACTACCACTCGATACGTCGTGTGTCCGCCATTGGTTGCTGGCGCCCCCCTTTGCGGGCCAGCTCCCTGCAGCGCGTGTCCCTCGTTAAACGGGGGGAATTCTTTATGTTCGGACAGCGTCGCTCGTTTCGAGTTGGCCGAGGAAACAATTTGGGGAAAAATATTTGTTGCCAAGTATTGCCGCGCGCACGGAGAAATATTTGCGAATAATAGACGATCGATAGAGAAACAGGCGATCTTTGCGATCGATCGACAACAAAAGTTGGACGGAAATGATTTAACCGATGTGATTGCGCGATCGAGCTTGGATCTTTCATCCAAATTCGGCCAATATATGGCCACGGTATTGTACGAACAATCGGAAGATATCCCGTTGCCTATGTCATTGGGTATTGAATAATTAGTGGCGCGAAACAAGTTATCTCCGATCAAAGGACTTGGACACTTGTCAACAGAGGATAAAGAGGATGATAAAATTATTATCGGGGAACGGCCGATATTTTATTACAACTCGGTGACGGTGGCGGAAGTTGAAGAAAGGAAGCGAGAACGGTTCGGGAAATTGCACGTTGATTATCGAATTCCTTCCTCTAATTAGCCGATTACGAACGCGGACGAGAAAGAAAAGAAAACAACGAAAGAGAGAGGGGGGAGAGGAGAGCGAATGCCCGCTTTCGCGTTTATTTACAGCAATTTATGTACAAGTAGAAATATAATTGGGATCGATAATTGGGCGAAATTTGTTTTCTCTCTCTCTCTCTCTCTCTCTTTCTCGGTATTTTTCATTTCGAAGACAAGGGAGATGGATCCACTTCCGAGTCGTTTCTCCGATTAATTTTTTAACGACAAAAGAAAAGAAGAGAAAAGAAACGCAAATATTTCTCCGATTCGCGATGGCGGGATTCGAGGAAAGGGAGGAAACGGGACGATAGAACGCGGGAAGAGCAGATGAATGGGGGGAGGACGGGGGAGGGTTGTTGGTAGAGGTATAACGGAAGGAGACAAGAGAAGGGGTTAGAAGATTAAGCCGCGAAAAATTAATCCAGCCGTGAGAGACGTGATGTCTAACTTGGTTGATGATTTGTGCCCTGGCCCCGCCCCAACCCCGGCGTTGCCCCCCTGGTGTTGCCCTGCCGTTGCCCTGCCGTTGCCCTGCCCGGAACGACGGACCCTGACTTGATCGGCAAATGGACCACCCTACCAACAATCGACAACAACCACCAACCAACCACCAATGAACCAACCACCAACCACCACGGCCCGACAGTACAAAGCCTCAATCATTGTACCCGATTGCCCCGGACCCGAACGGTAATGACCAACACCACTACTTAATGTCTTATTTTTCTTTGTCTCTAATTACAAGAAAATACCTGAACGGCAGCGACCTCATCGATCGCTCAGCTGTTTTCTTTTTTTTTTTTTTTTTAAAGTCGGAACGACAGCGACGTTCTCTCTCTTTCTTTCTCTCTCTCTCTCTTTCTCTCTCTCTCTCTCTCTATCGATAATTCTTTTTCTTTATGTCTGTCTATCTGTCTGTCTGTCTGTCTGTCCGTCTGTGTATCTGTCTGTCTGTCTGTCTGTATGTCTGTCTGTCTGTCTGTCTATCTATCTTTTTTCATCTTCATTATCCTCCACTACTCTCTCTCTCTCTCTCTATTTCTTTCGCCCGTATTTCTTTTTTCCCCTGTACTCTTTATATCCTCCTACTCGCAATACCAGCCCTTTCTCTCTCCCTCCCGCCCTTCTCTTCGTCTTTTTTGTCTATCCGTCCGCCTGTGCCTTCCTCAGCCTTGTACCCGTGTCCTCGAACCAGCGTCTCCAACATCGTTTCGCGATGATTCATCGCTCGGCGAACGAATGAATCGCGCTAGTATTCGAAGGCGAGGTTTCGAAGGCGAGGAACACGGCACGAACGATAGCACATCCCAGGGCGCGCGTTTCTCGTGACTGCACCTGCCATCGCTCGCGGTTCCACGTCTCCCTTCTTCGTCCATCCTCCTTTCTCCCCCCCCCCCCCCTACATTTCTCAGGTCTCTTCGTTCGTCAACGTTCTCATTCTCGTTCTCATTCTCATTCGGCTCCGTCTCCTCCATCCGCCTCTCTTCTCCTCTCGAAACTTTCGAGAGTAATCAACCGAGCGAATCGAGAACGTCGATCGAGAGGTGCGTTGTAGCAGTGAAACCCTCTTCTCGCGCTTGTCGCTTCTTCGCTTCTTCCTTCCCCTTCGTTTTCTCTCAGGAGGAACTCGTTCCATTCCAATGAGTTGGCTGGATGGATGGAAATTTTCAGTCGAAAATTGCAACTCGCAATCTCGAAGAAGAAACGAACCTTCGATTTCGTTCGTTGTTGCAATATCAGCGGAAAAATCGTTATTAATCGTTATTATAACGAGTCAGTGATACCGAGAGGGCAATACGTCTTTTTTCTAACGCGCGCGAAAAACACGGTCGATCGTGCATCTCGACCGTGTTCCAAACCTTTCTTCTACTCTCATCCTTAATCCACCCCTAATCCTATTATTCTGCAATTTCTCTCTCTCTTTCTTTCTCTCTCTCTCTTTCTGTCTCTCTTTTTTGTTCGTGTTTGCTCGGATCGTCTCGCGGTGCGCGGACAAAACACGCCCGATATAAATATCACACATGGTCAGAAAAATGACGACACTTTGTGGCCGGGGAAAGTATAATGTGTACATCATGTTGTGTCTTTCTCTCTCTCTTTCTCTCTCTCTCTCTCTCTCTCTCTCTCTCTCTCTCTCTCTATTTCTCTTTCCTTCCTTCTTCTCTCTTTCATTTTCACAATCTCTTTATCTCTAATTTTTTTGTGGCTAACACGGATGCTAATCCGTGGAAATAGGCGGGTACTCTGCCGATTCCACGCTTAACGTCGATATGTCACGCTTACTCTTTTTAGGTACGCCCCATTGATCAGCGCACCATTGACCATCATCGTCCTGGCAGAGATTTTTGCCAACAAATTATGCGCGAATTAAACCAAAATGTCCGCAAAATGATCGCGAGTCGAAAGTCATTACCGACCTGCTGCGCGATCCGCCTGTGTCTCTGCCTCGTTTCGATCCTTTCGTTGCTGGCCTCGTTTCGGCCTCGTGCATACTCGTTCCAAATTCCTTGCGAGCTAACCGTCTCCCCATTTGGTGATAAACTTCGTTCGCGATGGCTTCGATTCGACGTGTCTAAATTTCTTTTTTTTTTTTTTTTTTTTTTTTTTGGATAGAAATTCAAGTTTTTAATTCAAGTCAGCAACGAAAGAGATTTCGCGTTTACGAGATTTAACGAACGTAGTTTTGAATTTTTTTTTTTTTTTTTTTTTTTTTTTGCCACAAGAATGTGGTATACGCGATCGAGCGTGTTTAAGAGAAGTCTTAGCGGTCTTAGACGCTTTGTAAAAATTTAAGTAGGATTGATTAATCGTATCGAGTTGTCGTTAGAAATTAACACATCTGTTAGTCATTTCGTGGAAACGATTCTTTATACAGTTCAATAAATGGTGACGTAATGAGGATTTATAGTAGTCGAAAAAGATGCCACATTTTCGATTATAAATTATTTTTGTTTACCAGTTATGCAAAACGGGATCCAACGGGATCGTTTTATAATCCATCGTTACATCGATCGAATTTCGCATCTATAATTTCCACGATGACGAGTAATTTATTTATGATAAACGGAATATTTAAATTACGTTTAAAAATGCACATCGATAGCCTACGTGGCTTCCGTAGATCAACGGAATTATTAATCGATTCCAAACCTTACTTGTGTTTCTAGGATGCATACAGGCTCGAATAATAATCGATTTTATAATTACTCGATAATCTACGTAAAATTATAAAAATTATTATGGAAGCGTTATAGCTTTTCGTGTCTTTGGAAAAATATTTTGTGATATGGTAAAATGAGGGAAAAAAAAAAGAAGAACAACGATAGAAAAGCAATTGAGCAACGTTCCGTTTCATAAGGATAAATAATAATCGAATAGGAATCAGATTCGAAATTCAATTAAATTTAATTAAAAGATTATCCACAACATCTGCGCGCGTTCGTTACAGATTAATCAAGAGGAAATATTCGATCTCAAACGATTGAAGGCAGTTTCTCCTTTAGCCTCTGCCCCTCAGTTAAGTTTTTAATGGAAGGAGATCCGTTAATTCAATTTTTCATCCCATCGATGCGCGTCTGGATCCTAGATACTCGGTGAAAAATCTCGCGATCAAAGCTTACCAGCAGACCAGTAGTTCCTCTTCGTTCTTTTTTTTTTTTTTATCCTTTTTCTTTTTGTCTCAGAGAAGTTTCCAGTTTCGTGGATCCCGAGATCTATATATACAGCTTTCATTTTCGAAGCTTTGATGACTTTCGACCTTCGATATCTTTCCTTTCGAAAGGGACGAATTAATAATAAACGCACGCTGGTTCTCCAAGGAAACGTTAACCGAGTTCGTGATTGCGTGTTGACCGTTGAAGCGAATCGGTTGAGAATCGGTTCTCAGGGAGAGAAGTAGCTTGGCGATGGCCGTTTTCACGGTTTTCAGAGAGCCTAGTCGCTGGCTAACTAACGAGAAACAGTTCCCTCGCGACTCGTCTTATATATATATAAAACGATCTCGTGTCTGGTGATCGCGAGACGACGACCGTTACGTAGGAGAAAAGCGCATGATTAACCCTCGACCAGTAGGGTGAACGTGGAGCTCTGTTCCCATAATTGGTAGGGTGGGATCGATTCAAAGGAAAGAGAAAAAAATACCAGCTGTTCGCGATAGTCAAGTCGAGTCACGCGACGGAGACAAGTCGTGCGTATATAACCGTGCTTCGGTTGTCGATGGAAACCACTGACAAAGGAAAAGGTACGATGGCTCGATCATATTTAACCCTGCTTGAACGTCATATGTTAAATATATTTCGGAACCAACATGGCGCTTTTCCATCCCGCTGTTCAATTAAATTTATCGCGGGTTTTTGAGGTTACGGTGCGGTCGTCCTTCCTATTTTCACCACCAGATGTCTCATCGACTGTTTACTTTCTCGCTGGTAATTTGAAAGAAGGAATTTCTTTTCCTTTCCTTCTTTCTTTTTCTCCTCTGACTATTCGTAGGATTAAATGCCTAGAACATCGTTATAATAAGAGGGAAAAATTATAATTTTTGTAGTTTTTGTTTTTAAAATAGCAGGGTTAAATAATTCTTTGTTGCGATATAATAATATCGACTCATTTTTTTCCTCCCCATCCCCCTCGTTTCTTTATCTTTCTGGTGTACGAATAGGTCTTTCTCATTATTATTTATTTTAGATCGTTCTTGATATATATCTCGAAGTTTTTTCGAGTCAAAGTTCAAGTACGATTTATCCCTGCTCGCATGATTCACTCTGCATCGTATTGTCTCACTTTCTCTCTCACCGAACGTGTGACTACTAGTACTAACACTGGATTAATTTTTTTTTTTTTTTTTTTTTTT